TTGGGGTCAGAGCTCATATTTCAGAGTCATTTGTTAGATGCTGTGTGATCCTGGGGACGTTACATAGTGTCTCTGATCCTGTAAGATGGGAGCCTATGGAATGTGCATTTAGAATGTTATCTTCTTGCTTTCCTCACCCAGACAGGAGTCTGTAAGAGTATGTGTGCTCACTCCTTGGGGTTCCTGGCTGGACAGTCCAGAGGAATTAGGCGGGGGTGGGGGAGGGCATAGAACACTCAGGCCTCAGAGCGCCTGTACCTAAGAGCACACGTCAGCCTCGCATCCTTCCCTCCCCTCTCCAGGCTGGTCCTGCGACTGTGGACTCAGGACAGAAACAGCATCGCCCCCCTGAGCGCCAAGTTTGGGGCCAGACTGGAGGCATGTGAAGATCTGCTCAGATCCGCCAGAGACCTGGGGCTGGCTGTGGTCGGAGTCAGGTGAGGGCGTTGCTGTCCCTGCTGGGGGGTGGGTACCCTGGCACCCATGGCCTGTCCCCAGCCTCTGGCTTCTGGGCGTTCGCTGGTGAGCCACAGCCTCGCTGGCCTCACAAGCACCCTGTGTCTAGAGAGGAGCTGTGTGCCCTCTGGGGCGAGAGTGGAACAGTGGTCTGGGTGCAAAATGTCAGAGTGGCACCAGACATTAAGTGCTCCAGATAAACAAAGTTTTTGGTTTTTTTTTTAAGATTTATTTATTTACGCTTTTAAGAGCTGGGGTACAGGTCAGAGGTGTGGGGGTTGGGGGGATGAGAGGATTCCCAAGAGACAGAGTGGGGAGCAGAACAGGCAGATCAACGAAGTACACTGCTGAGGGGAGCAGCAGGTGAGACAGGAGAGGTCTGCCGCGCCATATGGGTGAGCTCCCTGGCCGGGGATCAACTCATGCAGCAGTGGCCACGGACGGCTTCATTGTGCTTTAATCTGCTGAGCCACTAGGGAGGGTGCTAAACATTTTAAAACAAAAGTCAAAAATAAAAACACTAAAGCAAACTATAAAATCCACAATGAAGAAAATATAAAACAGGTAAAGACACGGTTAGCATTTCTGATGGCCTTTCTGTCTTGGGGTCCAATTACCATTACTGATCTGGTCATTGTTTACAATTTTTGTACTCAAAGTGTTGCCTTAAGTGTTATTTCTCCTGATGGTCTAGTGTCGGGCTCCCCTGAGTGCTGTCCCCGAGGAGCACACCTCTCTGATGTCACTCACGTGGCCCTGGCTAGCTCCTCAACTCGCCCTGGCATTCAGGGCTCTGATCACATGCCCTCCCAAGAGGAGAGGAAGGGGAGCAGTCAGTGGAGACATGGGGGGCAGCTAAGAAAGGGGGCTGCCATAGACCGGGAACGCCCCAACTCAAAGGCTGTCGTGTGGCCCTGTGTCTCTGGGGGCCCCGAAGGACATGCAGCTCCCAGGGTGCCCATGGGGGGAGGCGTCATCACAGCTCAGGGGTCTGTCTCGTGCCGTCTCCACGTTCACCTGTGCTGGTGTCTGTCTCCCTGTTTCCACCCATCTCTCCACTTGTCACTCAACGTGGCTCAGCTTCCACGTGGGCTCTGACTGCCAGGATCCCCACAACTTCACCCAGGCCATCATGGACTCCCGCCGTGTGTTGGACATGGGGCGTGGGATCGGGCATGACATGAACCTGCTGGACATCGGAGGGGGCTTCCCCGGAGTAGAAGGCTCTGACCTTAAGTTCGAGGAGGTAAGGGGGACAGCTCAGGGGAGCGCGAGAGGAGCCCGGGGGCCCCGGCCTGGCTCTAACAGACAGAGTGCGTGTGTCTGTGTGTCCGAGGCGTCCCAGGGTGCCCGCACACGGCTGGGGTACATCTGACCCTGCACATGCGGCCGTTTGTACATACGGGTACGCGAAGGCTCCTCTAGCCAGGCAGCTGCCAGACCTGGCTGGGCTGCAGTCAGGCGGAGGGGTCCCGCTCTCCAAATCCAGGGACATTCCATCTTTGCTGACTGTTCTGATTAAACAGCTCCAAATCCAGACAGCTCAGGGTGCTCCCAGGGTGCCTTCAACAAGTCGCTTCCTCTCCCCGGGTCACGGTTTGACCTGATTCCTGCCCAGTAACATGGGAATGACCTCAAAAGGAGGTTGCTCGGATAAAGGGAGGCGATGCAGGTGACACCCCTGCACCGTCCACACGAGAGGCTGGCCTGTCCCCACAGATGGCGAGAGTGATTAATGCCGCCCTGGCCCAGCACTTCCCCGAGGAAAGCGGTGTCCGGGTCATGGCGGAGCCTGGCCGCTTCTATGCTGAGTCTGTGTTCACGGCCGCTGTCAACATCATCGCCAAGAAGGTTGTGCTGGAGCCAGGTGGGTGTGCAGGACAGGGCAGCGAGGGCACTGTCCGGGTGGCCAGCGGGGGGAGGAAGCTCGGAGGGTCCGGGATCTGCCTCTGGGCGCCCGCTTAGCTGGAAACACACTTCAGACTGGGTCTAGAAGACCTGTAAGCATCAGCCTTTTGACCTAAATAGCCGGGGAAGAAGGGAGCCCAGACAGTCTCCTCATCTTTCCGCAAGAATAGGCGAATGTATCTGTGTTTATGAGCCCAGGTCACAGCACACAGCCCGCGGGGGTCGCCCACATCCTCCCGCCACCTTCCGATTTTGAGCAAACATGATGAAAATAAAACGCATGTTCTTATAGCCAAAAACATCGTGCACAAATACAAATCCTTGCAAGAAATACATGCCCGAAGGGCAGGCGGCAGTTAGAGGTGGCTGTAACCCTTCGTGCCATCAAGACTGACAGTCACAGGCAGGAATGCATGGTTTGTCTGTCGTTTGGGGGGCAGGGCTGGGGTGGGGTTGCTGTTCGCACTCAGTGAGCTAACCAGAAGAATACAAACAGGCCTGACCCGCTGGAGGGAGTTCTTTATTCCTTGCGGCTTTGCAGGAACTGACATGCAAATATTTAGACGCCTCTTTAATCTCCTTTATCCTTCTGTCAAATGACTGTCCCGAAGATTTGTGATCCCAGAGGCTCGGGTGTGACCCGACCTCATTCCCTCACACAGTGTCTCGTTAAGAATGCCGCGGCACACAGGCATCCGATTCCCGCCATCACTTAAGGCAAGCTGAAGTAGTGGGGCGCCTTCTCTGCTATTTACGCAGTAACAGAGCTGCCAATCATTACGTAGGTGTTCTGCGTGAAATAAAAATTTTATCCGCTTCTGTCAGCCACCCTGTGAGGAAGGTTGGATCACTCCCCTGTGACAGGGAGAGTTACTGAGGCCTCAGAGAGAAGTGACCCAGGCAGCTGCCCACCTAGTCTGTGGGGCCCAGGGCTGGCACCCTCAAGGTGCGGAACCCTCAAGGAACCCTGTCAGAAAAGCCACTTGCCCGGATTGCCGCCTCACTCAGCAGGTGCTCAGGGAACTTATGGCGAAGCCCAAGGATGTGGGAGCTGTGTCCTGGGGACAGATCCCAGCCCATCACTTTCTCCTGTGTGAAACTGTCAAGACGCAGTAGATTGGGGATCGGCGTCTCCCCCACACCTCCCGTACCCCCTTCCTCACCGCTCCGCCTGGGCAGAGAAAAGCAGGTGCAGGAAGGGGACTGCCAGAGCTCCGAGCAACCTGGGCGCAGCTGGGCCTTTGACGGCTGTAGTAGCAGCAGTGCTCCGATAGGAGGTGCAGAGGGGTTCCGGGACCCCAGAGGTGAGGCCCCACCGAGCCTGGGGTCCAGAAGAAGCCAGGACCAGGGGACAAGGGTCGACCTGCGCTGGGCAGAGGGTCTGGTCCCCCGGGTGCTGAGCTCGGGAGGTGAGGGTCAGCGGTGACTCTGTGCCCGGCACACCTCAACCCTACGCGCTCCCCTCTCCTAGGAGGCCTCAAGCTGATGTACTATCTCAACGAGAGCCACTACGGGGCCTTCCGGTACCTCCGAAGAGAGCCTGTCCCTAGGCGGCCCATTGTGGTGAAGGTAAGGGGCCCCTCGCGTGGCTCAGGCATCTCCAGGAGCCCGAGACCCCGGAGTCCAGCCTCCTGAGAGGCCGGGGTTCCGTCATTAAGGCTCCACGTGTGGTCAGGGAAGGTGGGCCACACGCCCCCTGCCTGGGTTCGTGTGTGCTTCTGGGTGCCCACGTTCCTTTGTGCGGCCTGTCAGTTTACACCTGGGCAGGTGGGCAGGTGGGCAGGTGTACAGGCACACGGGTCTGAGTAGGTGTGCAATCCGCGCTGCCTGTTTCCATGTACATTTCTCTGCAGGCTAATGTTTCCAGAGCCCTTGCGTGCTGGAGATAGATGCAGGAGACTTAGGAAGGAGAGATACTTAAACTCCGCTTCACATTAGAATCCGCTGGAATGTTGTAAAAGCCCCCAGTACCCAGGCCAGGCCTCAGCTCACTGAAACCAGACTTCTCTTGCTTGGGCCCCTGGCATAGTCCTGTATTACAGGCGGTCTCCACGGCATCCCTAGGCACAGCCAGGTTTATGGCTCAGTACTTTGAGTGATCGTTGAATGAAATCGCCCCACCTGATGGATGGGAAAACTGACATCCAGTTACGCCTGAACTTACGAATTGGTAGGACTGGGTGTCTCACTGGACTACAAGCCCCACGAGAGCAGGGTCTAGAACAGTGTCTCATGTACTGGGTCACTGTGGGTGGCTGACAGTGTCCTGCTGGTGCCTTCGCCCTGGTACGGGGGGCATCCTGCAGGCCTGGCTAGGGGGTGCTGGGGGAGGCCTCTCCCTTCTCTGAGACTCCACCCTCCGCTCACTGCAGGAGCTCCCCTTGGACCCACCTCTCTTCCCCTGCACCCTCTACGGTCCCACATGCGATGCCTTAGACATGATCTTCTTGGAGGAGGTGCAGCTGCCCCAGCTGGACGAGGGGGACTGGCTGATCTTCCCCTCCATGGACGCCTACACGTCAGCCATGAGCTCCACCTTCAATGGCTTCCCTCCCGCCTCCGTCTGCTACGCTATGAGACCAGAGCTCAGGTGTCGGGGGGGGGGGGGGAGAGGAGGTGGGTAGCAGGATGGGCAGTGCACTGGGGGGTCTCCCCAGGACCTGAGCTTGGCAAGGGGTGCTGGGGGCTGAGCTCTGGGAATTGCCTTACCCCCACCCCACTGTCCCAGCAAAGCCCAGCGGTCAGACATTTGCCACCTGCCTCTGCATTTGGGCTTGACCCTGTTGTAGCCTGACCTCAGCGAAGTCCGCAGTGACCCTCCTGGGGCCCCTGGCACACACCTGTTTGGGGCTGAGTCACGTAGCCCTGCGACCAGCTGAGCCCCAGCCAGCCCCACTCTGCTCTGACCATTTGTGGGGGCTCCCTCCTCAGGGGTCCCTTCCCTGTCAGCTTCAGGGCTCCTTCAAGCCCCAGTGCCAGGGTCCACTCTCTGCCCTGCCTAGGACCTGCCACCAGGGTGGTGGAAGGGGCCTGGAACACCCCTTTTCTTGCACAACCTTTCCATAGGAGCCTGCTGGAGACAGACCCTTAAGCCAGGACGAAGCTTGAAAGGAGGACTCCAGACACCTTGGCGTGCCCCATGTGGGAAGTTTGGGGGTTGGGTAGGGTGGCGGTGCAATGTGGAAGAAATAAAAGTTTGGCTGATTCTGAAATGATGATCCCAATTTTAAGGTTTTAAAGTAGTTTTCTCCAAAGTGGGCCTGAAACCTAGGTTAGTTCTACAGGGAAGCCAACCTCTCAGCTCCGGCACCCTAGGCCCTGGGTTGGGGAGCATGATATTAGTGTCACCCCTTGCAGGGCTCTTGAGGAAATTGTCAAATAACTCAAATCCTCATTCAAGGTCAGTTCATGTCCAGGGAGGCCCTTACCCTGGCCCAGCCCTCTCAGAGGACTCCCTCCTACCCCCATATGGGGCCCTCTGGAAGTATGCATGATATCTGGTCACACAGCTAATGGGCTAGGCAGGTAGATGCCTCAGACCTGACGTTGGCTTCAAGAAACCTCTAGGTTGGGGTGTTGGGCAAGCAAGGATAGCTACAACTAACTCCAGAATAGGGCAGATGCTTGTCCCCAGGGGAATTCTGGAGAGGGCGATGTGCTACAGGGAGGGATGTTGGCAGAGATGGGGGTACGGACATACCAGGATGACCAGCCAGATTCCAGCAACCAGTGAAGGGAGAGTGGGCCCGAAGCCGGAGTCCCCCACCACCCATGTCCTCTGCCTTTTAGAGGTTCACCTGCATCTCTGAGACTGCGCAGAGCCTTCCCCCACTGCCCAGAGCCGCTGTCTCCCCAGTTCAGCCGCAAAACCCCCAAGCATCCTTGAGTTAAAGCGGATTCTCCCCCAGACATCCCAGGAGAAGGGAAGGGGTGCAACCCCCCCCAGGCACTGGGTGACTTTAGAGCCCCAGACCAGTGAGGAAATGAGCTTGGAGATACTAAGGGGATAAACATGTGTTTAAAAAGATTTATTTATTTATGCATCCAGAATTGGAGTACAGGCCAGAGGTGCAGGACTGGTGAGAGGCTTCACCAGAGACAGAGTGGGGAGCAGAACAGGCAGATCAATGAAGTACACTGCTGAGGGGAGCAGTGGGCAGGTCAGGAGAGGTCTGCCGCACCATGTGGGTCACCTCCAGGGCCGGGGATCCAACTTGCACTGAGGCGGCTGTGGCCAGCTTGCAGCGCTGAGTCCTAACCTGTTGTGCCACCAGGGAGGGCCTAAGGGGAGAAACATTTTAAGAAACGAAACTCAACTATGGCTGCTTACACACCGAGGGGTGCCTGGGGAGGATGAGAGGGGGATGGTGATCTTAACTGGGCGGTTTCAAGGGGAAGGGAGTTTGGGGAGTGGGGTCCAGAGGGGATGAGTGGACACACTATGTGCAAGAAACCCTTGCATCCCAGGTGGTGAAAATGAACCAGTTTGGCCAACTGGGGGTTAAGCTGCAGGTAATCCCTGAGCATCTACCTGGCTTTGTCATGGTTCAACCATGGGGCCTTGCTGCCACCTAGTGGCCATTATCAGTGTTGCACCCAAACGAACCTGTCCTAAGGCATTGGCTAGTCCTCATCCACCTTTGACCACCAGCAAGTAGAAGTCCAGAGAGGTGATTTTAAAAAGCCATCCACTCTTGCCTGCTCAACCATTCATTTGCTCATTCCTCTGATAGTCACTGAACACCTGCTCGGTGCCAGCCACTGTTCCAGGCACTGGCATTTACCAGGAAACAAGACAGTTGCTCTAATACGTCTGCCATTCATGTGGGGGAGGTAAGACAGCTACGAAACAAATAAGCCAGATGATAGATGGTGATGGGTGCAGTGAAGGAGTCAAGACAGCGACTGAAAAGGGTGGTGGAGAGATGGCATTTGAGGATGAAACAGAAGCGAATGGTTAAATTGGTCTCAGACCCTAAAGTACAGACAAAAAACTTGTGAATTCTTTGGTGCTTGTAATTACAGACAATGTTTATCTCACATGTCCTGAGCAAGTAGGAGCAAACACCCTTGAGCTGGGCTCCAAGGCCAGCCGCAGACTGGAAGGCAGAAGAGGCGCAGGGCCAAGCCCAGGGAAATTCTAAATTCCACGTGTTTTCATACTTGTGGAAACTGCCCTGCGACTGGTCAGTGAGCCTCAGCCAAGTCCACCTAGCTCTGCCTCAACCAGTTTCAGCCAATAAAACGTCACCCCTTTGTTTTCAACCCCAGTACGCAAACCTATTCAATTTCATTTCTTTTCTCAATCTGGAAGGCAGAGTTGAGTTTAGCTGCCTTCGTTGCCAGTGGAGCTGAACTAAAGCTGGTCTCTCATTTTAGAAGCCTGATGTCCTTCTTGGACAGGCACACATCAGACCCCACTTCTCCAGGACAGGAGGCTCGGTGTCGGGGAGGGTTAGGGAAAGACTCCCTCTCTGGGAAGAAGAAAACACCCGGGAGCTCTGCAGGTTGGGCAAGGTCTGGAAGGAGGCCCTAGCCCATGGCTCTCTGGAGAATGCGCAGGCTCAGAACAGAAAGTTCTCTCTGGAGAGACCTGACGTTGACCTTCTCCCAACCCGCAATAGCCTCTCTCAGCCCTGCGTTACTCACACCGCTGACCACCCGTTCTTCCTGGAAGCTCTCTCTTCTCTGGGCTTCCATGACCCTGACATCAGTGGTAGGAAAAACTATGATTATTCTCTTGTGAAAATTAAAGTTTAACAACCAACAGGAGTTACTGGTGCTCCACTCATCCCCTCTGGACCCCACTCCCCAAACTTCCGTCACTTTGAAACCACCTGGTTAAGATCACCATCCCCCTCATCCTCCCCAGGCACCCCTCGGTGTTTAAGCAGCCATAGTTGAGTTTCATTTCTTAAAATGTTTCTCCCCTTAGGTCCTCCCTGGTGGCACAACAGGTTAAAAAAAGCTAGAGCAGGAAATACTGGCACACAAGAGTAAAGGTCAAGGTCAACATTGCCAATACCTATAAGAGCATGTAGGTCATCAGTCTGGCTTATATTTGTTGCCATGTTATAAATGTGCTAATGCTGAGTCATCCTTCAAATAAATGAATACAAATAAAGACACACGCACAGTATGTGTGTGCTTTACTGAAATCCTGTGAGTGGTGTTCTGAGAAATAAGATGTTTCAGAAGCAAAATAAGTCCCCAAACAGCAGCTCTGACGTGTTATTTGAATACTACCCAACTGTGTTACCTGGTATTTTGCAGTGTTTGGATATTTCCTGGCAGTCACATTTCTTTGTAAAGCAAAACATTTTCGTTGTTAGAAAAGGAAGCTAAATGAAACAATATCTACTGCGAAGATGTGTTTGGACACACACAATTCAACCAGCCTCAGTGCAAAATGAAATAAGTTTTTCTATGTCTGGAGAAGGAATGAGGTGTAGAATTGAGAAGTGGTACAGAGGTAAAACTTAAAAAAATGTTTTCAAATTCCAAAAGATATAAATTATCTTGGTTTGAGATGTCAGAATTCCAGGATATTCTTAGAGTTCCTGGAATTATATGTATTCTGTATTTTCCAGAACACTTTATTCAGGTGTTTTGAAAAAGTAATGATTGGCCATAATGATAAACAGTGAGCACATTCTTGTAACAGGTCACATTAAACATTGCAGAAGTTTTCTTTAAAAAAATTATAATAAGATGCAAGTTTTATTATGATTATGAGTCAATATCATCTGACAAGATGATACATTTCAATGGCATGTAAAATGACCTCTATCTTATATTTGACATTTGATAGTAAACAAGATTTAAAATGGGAACACTGACTCAATGTGAACGCCCAACGAGGATGTGGAGAAAAGGAGCTCCCCTGCACTGCTGGTGGAATGCAAACTGGTCTAACCACTATGGAAAGCTGTGTGGAGGTTCCTTAAACTGCAAAAATGGAGCTTCTGTATAATCTAGCAATTTCATTCCTAGGGATCTCCCAAAGGACACGAAAACATTGATTCCAAAGGATGCCCGCACCTCTGTTTATTTCTGTACTATTTTCAATAGGGAAGATGTAGAATCAACCCGAATGCCCGAAAACAGATGACTGGAACAAGAAGATGTGGTGCTTAGACACAATGGATAAGCTCATGCCCTTTATCAAAAAGATAAACTCATGTCTTTTGCAGCAACATGGATGGCGCTGGAAGGGATCATGTTTCGTGAAATAAGCCAGAAAGGAAAAAGAAAAATACCGGATGGTTTCACTCAAAGCAGGAACATAAGCGGTCAGGAAAAAAAAATGTAATAAAGTAAAAATAAAAAACAACAAACAACTATAAACCAGAGACATTCTACAGGGGAGGAGAGGGGAACAGGATTAAAACTGGGGCGGGAAGAGCACGAGGGACTATTGGTGATGGCACAGGGTGAAGCGGTGGGAAGCCCACGTGGATTACAACCGAGATAGAAAAATGCACAAAATGAAGAATGATTACATATAAAAATCAAAAAATATTTTAATTAAATACATATCTAAATAAAAATAATAATATAAAATAAAATGTGGAACTAAGAAAAAAAAGGAGAAGTAAATACAGGAGGGCTTCACTTATATATGGAACATAGAAAAAACAAAGGGTCAGATAAAGACAAACCTTGAAAGTCAATCATAGGTCTGAGGTATCCAGGAGGACAGGGGAAGGAGGGGCACAGTGGTCTGGTGGAGACTGCGGAAGGTGGGACCACCTGAGGGAAGGAGTCCTCTACTGTCAAAAAGCTAACAAGGATGGGGCCCTCCCTGGTGGTGCAGCGGGTAAGGATGCAGCACTGCAAGCTGGCCGCAGCCGCCTCAGTGTGAGTTCCATCCCCCGCCCCGGAGCTGACCCACATGGCGTGGCAGACCTCTCCTGACCCGCCTGCTGCTCCCCTCAGCAGTGTACTTCGTCTATCTGCCTGTTCTGCTCCCCACTCTGTCTCTGGTGACTCCTCTCATCGCCCCTGCACCTCTGGCTTGTACCTCAGTTTTGTATGCATAAATAAAAAATAAAAACAAATAAATCTTTAAAAATATTAACAAGGATGTAA